GGTTTAGGGTTTAGGGGGGTTGTGCTAGGGTTTAAGTTGAGGGACTTGCCGTATAAGTTACAAAGGCATAGCTGCCCCGCAGCCTTTAAAGAAACGCTGGGGCTCCCGTAGCAGGGGTCCTTCTGATAAGGCTCCTAGTAGTCAGGATTCTATATTCGGATTCCATGTTTTCTGAAACTCCCAACACGAGCCCGCCTCAGATCCCTACGTACCAGTCAGGGTTCCATGTCAGAGTTTCATGTTTTCTGAAAATTTGCATTTAAAGCCCCCGCTCTGCAGGATGTGCTGGACATCGGGGAAGGTGCGACTGGCAAAGGGGACAACGATGGGCTGGGGGGTGGAGGTAGATCTTGTGGCATGGCTTGGCACCCGACAAAATCTTTAAGAAACCTCGGCCCTACACCTTAAACCAGCCTCATGCGCTTTGTGCCCGGGTAGGAGCATCAAGTAATGTGATGTTGCAGGAGTTGCTCATGGTTCATGAACGCATGAACAACACCTCAACCCTAAAGATATTGCAGAGACATCCGAACAACCCAGCCATAAACAAGTCAAAACCACTAAAGCCCACAACCCCAAACCCGAGTCCCAAAGGAGTGCAGTCTGAAGATTAGATTAGAAAGTACCTTAACAACGCAGTTTTATTGTTAGGGCCCCTTTTATTCCCACCCGACCTCCACCAGATGTCATCAACCCCAAACCAGAAGCCTTGGGGAGACTTATCACATCCACTGGGGTAGAGCACGCACCCAAACCCAAAAATCCCGGAGGTGAGCCGCTGTTTGCCCATTTCGCTTTCGAGGACCGGCAGCTGGGGATTCATGTTGAGGTCTCGGCATTTTGGAATTGCTGGAAGGGCTCTGCAGAGAGTGTACCAGTGTTGTGAGAGGTCTCTTGAGAGGGGCCTTGATAGTTAACATTACTATTTTTGGGGGGGGTTCCTTATTATACTTATAGTACAATGTACCCCAAAACCCTATTCTAATTATTAAGGCCCCTTCTTTAGGGGTTGCAGGGGTTCAAAGTGCACTTTCTTCGTAGATTGCATGAATATGTCTAGGCACATGCCTTGCTCCTCCTTGCAGGAGGGTAGGTAGGGAGCTCAGCTCAGAATGTCGTGTTCTCTTTAATTTTGCAGGTACCCACCAAGAAACCCTCAACCGTGGTGGCAGGATTGGGCTCTGATGAACCTTCGCTTTGAGATGGCGATGCTCATGAGCGCTTTTTCGCAGGCTCCCCACGGTTGTTTATAGGGTTTTGGGGTTTGGGGTTTTGGATTCCCATCGATGGCTCAGTTGGGGCTGAGGGTTCCCTGCCTGTTCAGTCCCTGATGGCTCCGGGCTCCGTGAGACTTGTCTGAGGGTTTGTTTGTAGCGGGGCTGGATGGTCCGCGTTCAAGATTGTGATGCTTCCAGCTTGGGGATCTGGACAGAGATGCCTCATGGTAGGCCCACGACTGCATTGCAGAGCTATGGGCTTCGGTTTCAGGCTGGACGCCTCCACGGAAGCATCATCGCCCATTTCCGCTGAACCTAAACCACGAAGCCGAATTCCCACCGATCACCCTCAAGCCACCATATCCACAAGCCCACGTTCCTCACACTGAACCTTCAGGCGACAACTCTCTATAACAAGCCGCAAACGGATGGCCCCTTGACCTGCGGGATACCCAAACCCTGAGCCCTTTATTCGCATAAAGCCGTGGAGCCATCAAAAGCGCTCAACACCGGACCGAAACCCAAAGCGCCTAAACAAGAAGCGAAATCAACCACGCAGCGATACCAGGCTGTGGTGGATCCGGACAGGTGGCGTCGCCGGGTATGCCCGTTGGAGGGTTCAGTGTAGGGGCTTGAATAACTATTACCAGCATCATCCCTCATGTATTTAATATACTCCGAAAACCTTTCTCTAATTACCAAGGCAGGGCTTTAAACCTTAAGCCCACAGTCAGCCGTGCTTTCCGGTGTCACTCCTAAACCCTTAGCATCAAAATAGCCCAAAAGCCTTTTATAATAGGGTCTTTGGGCCCAAAAGCCTTAAAAGATGAGTCCTTGGAGTCCTAGGGAAACACGGCAACCCTCCAGGGAAAAGGGGGTTTGGGCTTAC